TCACTAACTCTCTGATTCTGTCTCTCTCTCTCTCTCTCTCTCTCTCACTCTCTCTGTCTCTCTCTGTCTCTCTGTCTCTCTCTCTTTCTCTCTCTCTCTCTCTCCCTCTCTCTCTCTCTCTCTCTCTCTCTCTCGCTTGATTGCTCCATCACTTTCTACTTATGTCTCAATTTCACTCAGCCTTTTCGGACACTCTTTATACTAATGATACTAACAGAGGCATTGCCTTAAGATTAACTCATTTCCCAGAATTTACCACTCCGTGACACCCATCCAGCTCAGAGTAAGATATGACACACGAATAATGCATTGTATTATATAATGTCATCGTAATCTCCTTGTCAAAAACTGAATCATAATTAAATAGTAATATCATATGTATTCTTAATACAACAGTAAGCTAACAGAACGTTTCAAAATCAGCAGAATACATTTCGTCACATTGCAACAGGGCTATAATTTATAAAAATGCCAGACGTTCATCAGTTAGCAATTGGTGTCATACGATTTACATGTAGGTCTAATCATAATTATATTACGGATAATCGGGGCTGGATTGGAAGAAACAGATACTATGATGGCGGTCGACGGTATTGCTGAAATATACGTCTCCTTTCATGAAACAAAAACTATGATCTAGAAATCTGTTAGAAGCATACAGGGAAGTATCCCCCCCCCTCACACACACACACACACACACACACACAACAACAACAACAACAACAACAACAACAATTATTTGGATAGGGAAACAAAAGACTGGACTGACTGACTCACACGTTACCAGAAGTAAGGAGGCAGCGCCGAGGCAATTATTGTTTTAGGAAGGACAAAGGGAGACAGTACTGCCTCACCATACGTCCAGGAGCGGTGGACCTGGCGAGAATTCTTTTCTCGGATTCCGAGACAAGCGAAACAGATAACATTAAATCATTACTGACTGACTCCGTTTCCCCTTAGATCAGTCAGTCGCACGCGCACACAACAACAACAACAACAGCAATAACACCAACGACAATGACGACGACACCAGTAACAACAACAACAACAACAACAACAATGATAATAACAACAGCAGCAGCACCATCATCACTACCACCATCACCACCAACAACAGCAGCAGCTGCAGCAGCAGCAACAGCAGCAGCAGCAACAGCAACAGCAACAACAACAACACACACACACAACAACAACAACAACAACAACAACACACACAGTAACAACCACAATAACAATAACAACCACAACAGCAACGGTCACAGTAACAACGACAAGAACAATAGCGATATATTAAAAAAACATAACTGAAGAGAAACTAAGGGTTCTACCAACAAATGAGACCGCATGCGGAACAGATATGAAAACAGTAAGTAAGTAATAAAAAAAGTAAGAGAAGTGGCGTCAGTTGTATAATTTTCAAGTTTATTTTCACTGCAGGTTGGAATTACTAGGGTGTTTGATTACATTCAACATTGGAATGCAGTTTCACAATCGTGGTAAAACACGCACATTTCTTAGGCAACAACGTGGGAGTGATCTCTCTCTCTCTCTCTCTCTCTCTCTCTCTCTCTCTCTCTCTCTCTCTCACTAACTCTCTGATTCTGTCTGTCTGTCTGTCTGTCTGTCTGTCTGTCTGTCTGTCTGTCTGTCTGTCT